GATTTAACAGGGCAGCACACAGTGGAACATAAACAGACTGTGGTGAGAAGTTCATAACCACTCAATGTGAATTTCATGGTAATTTTGGGCTTTTAAAGACTTGTTTGAACTATTTTTTTCCAAGTTTTTTTTTTTTTTTGTTGAAGGGGGTTTTGAATGGTTGTAGCATACATCTTTAATGACTTTAACAAACAAGGGTTTTATTTATTTCATTACTTTGTTATTTAATTATTTATTTTTCCACACAGGGTTAAGGGTTATGTACATACGGGTTCAAATATACGCATACACACTTAAATATTTTACCAAGTGATTTTGAAGGTTCTGCTATGTCTTTTTACTTGATAAGGCAAAAGCCTTTTAACTTCTCATTAGTGGTCATGCTCGACAACAACTGGTAGTTTCTAAGAGCGTGTTTGACTAAAATTCACAGTTGGCCACATGGACAAGCCAAATACTGTCAGGAGAAACGTTTTATGGTCCTGTGAGACAAAGAGCTTTGTGCTAATGACAAGAGTGACAAATATGGGAAAAAGAAAACTTTTACAAGACTGCATACAGTCCTGCGTCTTAAAACTATGTACAACCTTATGGCGTCCACGTGAAGTAAGAAGGTATGTAACAGCCAAGTGCTCCTAATCAAATGTACTTGATAAATTAATCATCTGCAAGCATAAGCACCTCTATAAAAGCAGAGGTTTTGGCAGGTGGTCTTGAGCTTTCAGGTGAGTGTTAACCCAATCCCACAGTCTTCCTAGGAATGGCTGTCCCAGCAAATTCGCCCTGTGGTCAGACTGACCCAGAGAGACGGGAACAAATAATAATAATAATAATAATAATAATAATAATAGATTTTTATAAGATTTTTTAAAACCCAGCTCATGTCATCACCTCAGCTATACCCCAGATGCTGCAGGACTCAGTTAGCATGTTAAGTATTAAGGTTCATGACAGTACAATAAGAATAAGCCAGGAGAAAGCCTCTTCTCTATAAAAAGAACATGGTAGCACTACTTAGGTTTAGAGAGTTGCATCTGAATAAACCACAAGAGATTTGGAACAATGTTCTTTGAACAGACAATACCAAAGTAGAGTGGTTTGACTATAATACACAGCTCTACATTTGGAGAAAACTAAAAACAGAAAATCAGTCCAAAAATCTCACAGCTGTGATTATGCAGCAAAACAAAATCTTAATTGAAACTCAATGAAACCAGGAATCAGAAACTTAAAACACCAAAACAGCAAATCAATTGAAGCAGGGAGCTAAAACAACAACAACAAATTAATATAAACTACAAGCCAAATAAGTCCATAATAACTGAAGCTAAACATTAGTAGGATCATTAACCTCCTAAGACCCGAACTTTTCCACGGCATGCATTTTTCATTTCTCTTTGATATTTGGGCTGATTGGGACCTGATGAATGTAAAAACAAAGAATTACCAGATTTTTTTTTACCTAATTTTTGTTTCTAAGAAAAATGAGAGCCATATATGAGGATATTCATTTAAAATTTAGATTAAACAGTAGCAGTATAATAATAATAATAATAATAATAATAATAACTTTATTTATAAAGTGCTTTCAAACAAAGTGCTTTACAACTAAAGAGATAAATAAAATAAAAGCGATACATAGCAATACAGGTAAAAGACACAATACAAGTTAAAAACAATAAAAATTTAAAAACTAAAAGCCATAGAATTAAGACATGTAGGATAGGGTGAACAAATGTGTCTTCAACTTAGTTTTAAAAACCTCCACAGAGCATGCCTGCCAAATATCTTGAGGGAGGTTGTTCCACAGAAACGGGGCACAAAAGAAAAAGCACGCTCT